GTACACGAGCGCCGAATAACGCGCATGTATAAGTGCACTGACCACGTGAGTCGCGGCATGTTATCGTGCGAGCCGAGGCGAGTCGCCGAAACAGGCAGTTATCGCCAGGCGCTCATGGCTATCACAGCGAGCCTCGCCGGCATACACTCAACTAATTGTACTCCTATATTCACTATGAAATAAAGGTAGACTTAGAAAATACAACATTCACCTTACTCCTGATTCAATACCTCCTAATGTCGAAGTCGAGCAACTAAAGTGAACATAGCCCTGCCAGGCATATGTAACACTTACAACTTCATTTTTCACAATTTGTGATGATGCGTCATCACACGAAAAATATACACTACCGGCACTATGCGACCGAACAGCCACGATCGCATACACCCACCCACGCACGTCCGGATCTCGCGAACTATGGCCCCCAGAAGTCTCCCTGACCGATGCGCACGACCCTTACGCCCGCGTACAACCCCTCACGCACTCACGACCCGATCCGACACTCCCCCGGGAAGCTGGAAGCCCTTAAAGTTTCCAACCGCGATCAGCTGATGGCAAGGCCCCGTTAACTGAGGCAGACCTAGCTAGACTAAGGTAGGGGCAACCGAGCGCGTGAGAGTGAGCGAGACCGCCGATACGAGACCGATCGGACGCGAGCGAGGGGAATCGGCAAGACCTTTCGAGCAATAGATAGAAAAAGGATAGACAAGCGACGCTAACTGACCAGCCAATCGTTATCGGCTTAGGGGTATCTAGGCTGATAGGACGAAACCGACGCTATCTCCGTAACCAGTAGGCAAATTAGGCGCCAAGACCCGACCAATAAACAAATTACGTGGGCGAAAAATATCGGTATAGACGGCGCTGAGACCCGGCTTAGCAACAAGCCAGCCAATCAACAAATAACTAAGGGGAAGTAAGCTAGGAAAAGCGGCGCGTCGCCGAAAAACGGTGAGCCAGTACCCGTTGAGCTCTGCTAGCGAGAGTACTCGTTAAAATCTGCTGACGAGCAGTAAGCAGTACCCGCTGAACTCCGGTGCCGACCAGTGCGCCGCTGAGCCCTGGATCCGACAAAGGAGAATTTCCGCGTGAGTGCCCGAGCAATAGTGAGCAATCGTGAGCATAAATGAGCAGTAATGAGCAATAGTGAGCATAAATGAGCAGTAATGAGCAATAGTGAGCACTAGTAAGCAGTAATGAGCAATAATGAGCAATAGTGAGCAATAGTGAGCAGTAATGAGCAATAGTGAGCATAAATGAGCAGTAGTGAGATTAGTGAGCAATAGTTAGCACCCGCAGCAGTATCAGCATTAGTAATAGCTCAGCACACGCAGCAGTATCAGCATTCGCAGTAGCACCCGCATTAGCATTAGCAGCAGCTTAGCAACAGCAACAACGGCAACTCAAACGACGATTGTAGCGGCCGCTACAGCGGCCTTGGCGGCGGTGGCCGCAACCACAATCACTCTTAAAATTTGCCGGAGTAAGTACGCCTCTCCTCTATTAGTTCTCGCATGATCGACGAACGTGGAATTGCCGCGTGATTGCCGACCGCCGCGTTACGGGAGTACCGCACGACCCTCGCGCGTCCGACGATACTTTTATTGCCGACCTATCGAGCATTTTTTGTCGAACTGTCGTAGTGTTCATTGTCCGGAAGACGGAGTTGCCGCGTGTTTGCCGAACGTCCACGGTACGGGAGTGCCGTACGACCTTCACGCGCATTACGCCTCGCGATCATACGTTTGCCGTTGGTTTTCCGAATATTCTCTTTGTTGCGCCGTCTTATTGTCCTGTGTCCGAAAGACGAAATCGCCGCGTGATTGCCGAACTTCCGTGGCGCGGGTATGTCGCATGACCTTCACGCGCCCGTCTTCGTTGTTATGCGTGTTTTCGCCACCGACCTTCCGAGCATTGTCTTGTGCGTCGTTATACCGTTGATATCCGAGAAACGAGTTTTTCTAAGTGCGCGCGTCTATAAATTCCTTCTCCAAAGCCGGTTGAAAATATTACGCGAGTCGCGCCAGACCTTCGCTTGACCGGCAAAGTTTCGGGTACGCATCGTTGTCTTTGTTTCGTTACGCGATCATCGTTATGAAGTACAAAAAATAGTCCAAGTCCAAAGAAAAATTTGAGTCCAAAAAGTGAAAATGAACAGCTTTTAGATTGCGAAGAGTCTGAGATTCGAACACGTAGAAAGTCGAACAGAGAAACAAAAAAACCTGACAGATGGGGTTACGGTAATAACGAAGTATATTATATTTATGTAAATTTTGTAAGCGCGAATAGTCCAAAAACGTATGATGAAGCAATGAGTAGTAGTGAATCTGATCTGTGGAAAGATGCAATGCAAAGAGAAATTAACTGTATAAATAAAAATAATACATGGAAACTAGTACAAAGACCTAAAAATAAAAAAATAATTGACGTTAAGTGGGTTTACACAAATAAGACAAATAATTTGAAAAAAGCAAGGTTAGTAGTCAGAGGATTTCAGCAAAAAGAAATTGTAGAACATATATACTCACCTGTTGCGAGACTGCAAACATTAAAATTATTGTTAGCATATTGTGTACAAAACAAATATTTGATTGAGCAAATGGATGTGGAAACTGCGTTTCTAAATGGTACAATAAAGTCGGAAATTTATGTAAAACAACCGGCTGGATACGACAAAACCGACAAAGTGTATAAACTGGAAAAGGCGTTATATGGATTGCGAGAGAGCCCGAGAGCTTGGTATGAGTGCTTTGATAAGTTTATTACAAAATTGAATTTTAAAAGAAGTAATAATGATTATTGTTTATACATTTTCGAAGATAAGAATGGGGAAAAAATATATATAATTTTGTTTGTAGATGATTTATTAATTTGCGGAAGGAATAAAAGCAAAATAAATGAAATAAAGTTGAAATTAAGTGAAAGATTTGCAATGAAAGATATGGGTAAAGTAAAGACTTATCTCGGTATTAATATTGCTTATAATTATAAAAATGAAATTATGACTTTAGATCAGAGTGATTATATTGAGTCCTTAGCAAAATACTACAAAATAATTGATGGTAAATTACACAATACACCTATGGAACAAAATTTGAATATTGATCCCGCACAATCAGCATCAAATGACATAAAATACCGTAATTTGATAGGAGCTTTACTGTATATAAGTTCATGTACAAGATTTAATGTAAGTTATAGCGTAAACTATTTGAGTCGATTTCAAAACTGTTATGACGAAACACATTTTAAATACGCTTTGAGAATTTTGAAATATTTATACCGTACAAAAAATTTAAAATTGACTTACAAAAGAAATTTAGAAGCCGAAATTCTAGATTGCTATGTTGACGCTGGTTGGGCAGGCGATACATTAGATAGGAAATCCACTACTGGATTTGCAATAAGAATTTATGGAAATATTATATTTTGGAAAACAAAAAAGCAAAATAGCGTAACGAAATCATCAACATCTGCTGAATATGTTGCATTGTCAGAGGCAGTAAGCGAATTAAAGTTTATAAAAAGTTTGATAAATGATTTCAAAGTTAAAATTGATTTACCAATAAAGATTCATGAAGATAATGCTGGAGCAGTTTTGATAGCAAAATATGGTAATTTAACAAAAAAATCCAAATATATAGAAAGACACTATCATTTTGTAAACGAATGTTATGATAAAAAAGAAATTGACATCATTAAAGTAGACACTGAAAATAATTTAGCCGATATCTTTACCAAAGCTTTAGGAAGAAATAAGTTTGAAAAAATAAGATCATTGTTAAATTTGATAAATTAATTATTACGATTACTATTTTTACTACAATAACCAAAAGTTTATTGAGAAAGGAAAATTGTTAATTTAATTTTATAATTTGAAAAATTGTTTGTAATCAGAAAATAACTGTTTACCAAAATTACGTTTGTACAGTATAGGATTAAGGAGGTGTGTTGAATTATACGTAATAACTATACTGTACACATATACAAATGTAATATAGATATATCCATGAGTGACGATGCGCGCGCCGCTATCAGTATGTATGTGAGGATGTGTGAGTGCGTGCGCACATGTACAGAGTATATGATAGTCAGTCGGCTATGTAAGAGACAAGAGAGCGCATCTCGGCGTGGCTTATACACATGTGTGTATTGTCACATGTCTTATTTCATTTGTCTTGTAAAAAATAAGCTGTTACTTGATCAAATATATCCAAAATTAATAATTTACAGGGCTTTAAAGATCAGTTATTGTTATTACTATTGCGACTTAAAGAACTACATCCACATGGTTGAATGATTCAGAGGTAAACTAGGCATCTATACGCATTAGACATAGTTCTCTATAGTCGTATATATGAGTATGTAGACCCTATAATTCTTTTTAAATGGTGTAAGAGGAGAAATTTCTACACGCATCATGACTGAAATTACAGTTTAAGGTGTAATACAAATTACCGGAATCACAGTAACAAATATATGAAAATATCATTTCTGAAAATTTTCACATGTCTGGGGATCGAACTATTAAGCTCTTGCACCGAAGGCTGAGCTCTTACTTGAGCCACCGTGATCCGTATAAATTAAATTCAACGTGCTTTAGTTTATTTAATGTTTGGTAGTTTCTGACTAATTTTGCAATAAATCAATGAAAATCTTATGAAAGGATGAAGAAAATGCGCAGTACCTGATTCTTGTAATATTAAAATTTATATCTCTATGATAAATAAATTATGGTTAATATTTTTTGCTCGATTCTTAGGTTTTCAAACATTCTAGGGACCTTAAATTGGATTCAAAAAATTTGAAAAAATTCGTGGAGTTTATTTTTAAATGTAGATTATAAAAATAAATTAAGGTTACCATTCATTGATTTCCTGTATACGGTTTTGCTGTAAAGTATTAGATTGATTCATACGTGTATGTTATGTATGATTGGATTTGTGTGCTTACATATATAAAATTTTATATCATTTTTATAAACTTAATAATAACAGTACCTCGAGTAAGTTGTATCGGTTAATATCACATAAATCTCTTGATCCAATTTCTGTACTCATATACCAACCATTGAATGGAGCGGCTGTAAATTCTAAGCCGCCGCAATCAAAGACCATGTTAGATACTGCAGGGACAGCATACCACTTAAGATTCAAGCTTTTAAACCAATCGTAACTGTAAAATGAATTAGAAAAATTCATATTATAAAATCATATTATATTTAAATGAGATACGTTTCTGAACATTTGTATTTTATTTTCTATATGCCATTTTTTTAAGAAACTCTGCTTCCCATATATCTTACAAAAGAACTCTTATATATAGATTGAATCTGTAAAAGGCGATAGCTTTACATTTTTCAAAACTATGAAATACTATCCTATATGAAATCTTATGAGACATACATTTTAGTTTTTTTTTTGAAGAATGAATGAACCCAGGCCTACCGAGTCCGTCGCCCTACCGACCGAGCCATTGCAGGTCTCGGATCTATATCTTAAAACTGATGTTCTTTTATTTGATCAATTTTTGAAGACATACTTAGATTTGATTTACATATGTGAAATATCGAATTACGTATCGTTTAGAACCAGATCATTATTACACAATACTTGAATTATCTTAGAATTAAAGCTATATGAAAATATATAGACATAATTTAATTAAAAGAATATTAATATGAGCAGGAAAACACTTTATTAAGCAGGTTACTATTGAAAGAATCAGCCTGTGCTGCAGTAAATGTGCTATCGCCAAGAATCCAAATTTGCGGAATAATTATGATCCGCAAAAAAATAATCATTTCCCGATGTATTCTAATAATAAAAATCTAAACAACTTTATTTTTATTTTATATTTTTGCAGGTATACTTTTTTAAACATTCAATTTATTTTATTTATAAACAATAAATCGAGTTTTTTTCAATGTCTTATATAAAAGAAACTTTGATCAGCTAAGACGTGATTAACTGCTATCATGTAAGATATCATATCTTGTGCATTGATTCCTTGTAATAATTGTAGATAGAGTTTTTGTAATAATTGTACTAAGCAATATATTCAAGTAAATATTTGAAAGTAAGCTTTATATACATAATTTATTATTTAAATTATAATAAGCAATTATACTGCTTTACAGCTATTGAAGGGGAATTACCCTTGTGTATAGCATTGAATGGTACGTATAAAATTCCTATATAACTAAGAATTACATTTAAAATATTATTTATTTTTAGTCTTTATTGCCTTTCTAATAGATAACTAGATAATAAAGAATAATCAGTGCTTCTGATCCTAAGTCCATATGATTTCTTCAATAGAATATTCCAGTCAACTATATCAAATGCTTTATGTAGATCTAACAAGGGAACAACCCTAACCCGACCTCACCGATTTAAATGATTTTGGGATATGTTGTAGTACTTGAAAAAAAATTAGATACGTGTTCATTTTTTATCGGCCCATAAGGACTTTTAAGGGGTGAAATACACCCTAAAAATCAACCACTAAAATCAGTTTTTTTAATATTTCTCAACATCAAATGAATATTTTTCAGTAAACTTAACGTTAAAAAATTTCTTATAAAAAGGCGCTTTTAAGGACATAACATTTATACCGAAAGGTTGCAACCCCCTTTTTATAGGGGTAAATGTACTATTTTTTGTAATATATGTGTAAATACGACATGTAATATAATAAATCAGCTCGAGTTATTTAAAAATCGCACTGATAATGAGAAAATACCAAAATTAAATTAATGTGTTTCCGGATTTACAAAAAAAATATGTTTAATGGGTGTTTCACCCCCTAGAAACCATACCCGTCAAACTATCAGCAGGTGAATCCACCTAACCTGGGGATAAACAAGTTTAGTCGTTTGTTATTTCTTGAAATAATTTAATCCTATGCATGAGCGAGTTACCTCAACTAATCAACCTGCCTCTAACCCACTACACCCCCATAAACCACCCTTACCGAACCACATGCAGGATAATCCACATAATCCTGGGAAAAGCAACTTTAGTCGTTTGTTATTTCTTGAAAGAATTGAATTTTACACCATAAGCGAGTTATCCCATCTGTATAACATACCTCTTATCCACCTACCCCTAACCTATCTAACCCCCACCCTTATAAACCACCCTTACTGAAACACAAGCAGGCTAAACCTCCTAACCCTGGGAAACACGAGTTAAGTCGTTTGTTATTTCCTGAAATAATTTAATCTTACGCCTGAGTGAGCTATTTCAACTAACCAACCTGCCTCTAGCCCACCAAACCCCCATAAACTACCCTTACCCAACCAAATGTAGGGTAATAGATCTAACTTTGGGAGAATTGAGTTCATCAGTTGCTTTTTCTTAAAATAATTGATTTCTACACCGTACGTGGGGTATCCCATTTTTTTTTATAAAATATATCTTTAGCTCAAACATAATTTATGACAAATACAAATATGTTTAATACATTTTATTTTAATAGTACCAAAATTGCGAGAAATATCTCTTAAAAATAAACACGAGAATAACACGAGGTCTAATGATCACTTATAAATCTATATATATAGTTTAGTTAGTTTATTTATTTACAACTTATATGTTACATTACTTTACATCTCTTATATTACTATTTGTGTCTCGTATCCAGTTTGTGTAGTTGATTATGTATGTGTGTGTGTGTGTGTGTGTGTGTGTGTAGTGTGTGTGTGCGCGCGTGCGTGTGTGTGTATATATGTTGTGTAAATATGTGCCTTTGTAGGTGTGTCTGCAACTCTTGTGGCCCCGTCTTCTACGCCTGCCTGTTCCTCTTTTCTTCTCATTTTTCTTCTGATTACTCTTCTCTTCCTCTTTCTCTCTCCAAGATCTGCCTTTACCTCTCTTCTGTTTTTCTCTTTCTTGCATATTTTCTTTTGCCTTTTCACCTTTGCCTTTCCTTTGCTTTTGCTCTCATTCTTGCTAATCATTTTCTCTATCTTTCTCCTTATTAAGGCATTGACACCTTTTTCTTGTTTCCTATTGCTCCCTCTGCCATTCCTTTCCTCAACCTCACTTATTTTTCCTCAGTATCTTATAATTTGCCTTTTTCTTTCTCTTCTTCGAATCTTCTTCTTTTCCATTTTGCTCCGTCCTCCAATACTACTTTCTCTCGCTTATGTAGTTGCTGTTACTTGTGTCTTGTGTGTGTGTGTGCATGAGTATGTTTATGATTGCGCGTATGTTTGTGTTTTGTGTGTGTGTATATTGTGTGTGTGTGTGTAGATATGTCTGCGAGTCTTGCTTCTCTGTCTTCTGTTTCCGTCTCTCCTTAGGGTCTTGTAGCTTCGTCTTCTTGCTTTTCTTTTTCTTTCTTCTCTTCATTTCTTCTTCTTTTCCATTTCAACTCCATCATCCACGCTATCTTTTCTTTGCTTCCTATTATTATTTTTTCCCATTCTTCCCCTTCCATTCTGCTTTTTTCACATTTTTCTACCATGTGCTTCCAATTTTCTTCCTCTTTCATACACATTCTGCATCTCTTATTTTCTTCTTTTTCCCAATACTTGCTTTCTCTCGTTTCATTACCTAGCCTAAACCTTTCCCTTATTTGCAGGTCTTTTATTCTTCCCTCTCCTTGAATTTCCTTTAACCTATACCTTTTCATTTCTTCTTTCAGCTCTTTCCACTTGTTTATGTATCTTGATTTTTCTAGCTTTTCTTCTAGTTCTTTTTCATTTTTTTTCTTCAGCTCATCTCTCATTTCTTCCCAAAACTCTTCCCTCATTTCATCTCCCTCTTCTCTCTCTCTCTGTAAATTTTACTTTTTTCCAGCCTTTCCTCTCTCTCCTCCTTCTTACCCTTTTTATCTTTTTCATTTCTTTCCCTTTTCTTTAATTCTCTCCATGCTTCTTTTCTTATTGAGCCATCTATTTCTTCTCTTATTTTGTTTTCATACTTCCTTGCTCTTTCTAATGCTGTTTCTTTCATTTCTTGTCTTCCTGTTTCCCATCGTATTAGGTAACTTGGCGTGTTTCTATTTAATCCTAAAACCCACTTTATGTATTTTAGTTGTAGTCTTTCTATTTCCTCATATCCCTTCCATCCCCAGATTTCTGCTCCATACATAATCACGCTTTTCGCCAGAGCATCGAACACGTTCATCCTTAGCTCCCAGTTTTCTCTAAATAGCTTTTCTCCTAGCCCCCATAACTTTCCGAGTCCCATATTTATTTTCCCTTGTACCTTCTTTATCTGCTTTTTGTTTCCGTTATTTCTGCTTATCACATATCCTAAGTAGTTGTACTCTTTCACCATCTCTATCTTCTCATCTTCCCATTCGAATTGTTCTTCCATCCCCCTTCCTCCTCCTCACCTGCATTTCATCATCTTTGATTTTCCTACATTTAACTCTAATCCCCTATCTTCCAGGTATCTTTTTAATTTTTTTAGCATTACTTTCATTCCACTTTCACTCTTTGCCATCATCACTATATCATCTGCGTATCCTAATGTCCATATTTTCTTCCTTCCTATCACTACCCCTCCTTCCTGCACCTGCTTGATCTTCCCTTCCAGGTCGGCGAAGGCAAGATTAAATAGCATGGTGCTCAAAGGGCACCCTTGCCGTACGCCTTTGTAAGTCTCAAACTCCCCAATTATTTCTCCTCCAACTTTTACCTTACTCCCTGTTTTCTTGTATATTTCTTCTATTCTTTTTCTAATTTTTCTATTTATCCCTTTCTCTTTCATTGTTTCCCATATTTTCTTCCTCTTTATTTTATCAAAAGCGGCCTTAATGTCTGCAAAGAATACGAACAGTTTTCCTCCTTTTTCCCTTATTTCCTTCCCTCTTATTGTTTTTAATATAAATATCGCGTCCATTGTTCTGTTACGTCTCGTGCATCAACTACGAATAGCTAATGAATGAGACGTTCCAATATGTTGACTAGTGGTTGGATATGTCTCACTTATAATAATAATATGTGGAAATGTATGTCTGATGATTGTACTACCTTTAATTGTTGATAAAATGTAGCAGGCTCTAACTGCTTGTTGATTGTATGAGTGTAGCAGGCTCTAACTGCTTGTTGAATTGAATAAATGTAGCAGGCTCTAACTGCTTGTTGAATTGAATAGGATAGGTTTGAATAATACTTGCACGATATTACTTGTAACAGTCGTGAGTTTATTAAAAAAAAT